AACACCTCCAAATGTTATACCATTAGGTCAGTTCAAATTTGATAAGGAGAACAGAGCGGAAATTGAACGTGTCATACCAGATGATTTTATCAATATGATGGAGAAGAAATTGGTTCATCTAAAAAATATAAAATACGAACTGGATATCCAGATGCCGTTAGATATGAAGATGATGTGGCAAGTAGTGGGATTATATGGAATTACAGGTAATATCCGCAATAAGCTTTAATGATCTGATTGATCTTATACATACTTAGGGCATACCAAAAGTACGGGCAGTGACATTTTAATGCCGTTTAGTAGGCTTAAATAACTTTCCTTCTATATAGTCTGATAGAGAAAAAAAAGCTCTATCTTTCTATGCTATTTGACTGTATTTCAACTAATATCATAATATTAAATTATCTATAAAACCTATTTCAGCTGGTTGTGTGCTGGTTGTACGTTTTTCGTTGCAGTTTTCAAGTCCTTGTTGATTTTACTAAGAATCAAAATATACTATAAGATGCAGCGTGAAAAGCTCTACAATTTACATACGACCACTAATTTTATAGCTGCACTTTTTTGTCAAAATCGACAAAATTTTGAGCAATCAAATTGCCATCATGCGAAAAAGATCATGTTTTCGATGCACAGCGAATTCATTTTTATTATTTCATTGTTTCATCACTTGTTGTTCTTTATCAAAAGAAAAATAAAATATACCACTAGATGCGGCGTAAAAAGCTCTACAATCTAAACGGTAAAGCTTATTGTAATTGTTTTCAGAAAAAGGAAAATTTTATGCAGCCAATTTTCGCAATGCCCAAAATTTGATCCCTCAAAACTTAATCGACTTTGAAAAAAATAGTACAGCTATGAAATAAGTAGCCATATGTGAATTGTAGAGCTTTTCACGCTGCATCTTATGGCACATTTCAGTTGTTCATACAATTGTGTTAAGGAATTAAAAACTAACCTGTTTCACACGTTGCGATCTAGTACAACCAGCACACAACCAGCTGAATTAGGTTTTATAGATAATTTAATATTATGATATTAGTTGAAGTACAGTCAAATAGCATAGAAAGATAGAGCTTTTTTTTCTCTATCAGACTGTATAGAAGGAAAGTCATTTAAGCCTACTAAACGGTATTAAAGTGTCACTGCCCGTACTTTTGGTATGCCCTAAGTATTATTTAGATGCGTCATTAAAAACAAAGATTAATGTGATTTATGTTTATTAATCTATAAATTTCATTTGTAATTATTTTACTGCATTTTCTATCTGTTTTTGAAGTTCAAAAAATGTTTATTGATGCAAGAGTTTGCCCATAGAAACAATCTAGTAGTTTCTACCCAGATCAAGAAATACGCGCCATTTCCGGCTAAAAAACTCGAGAAAATGGTAGAAATTTCTTACCATTTTAGCGAGTTTTTCTGTTGAAATCACTAGCATGGTTAGATCAGTTCTCGAAATTCTTTTAAACAAGTAGAGTGAAACATGAATAACTGATCTCTTTAATTAATTGAGCTTTTGTTTGAGATCGTATGATAATTCGATGGGAAAAATCTATTAATAAAAAAAATCTAATCGCTCAATATTTGAATAAATTTAATTTTGATTATGAATTTTTTTTCTTAGTCAGGTAACAAGAAAAACTCTAACGGATATCGTACATAAATTAATGCTTCATATGGATAAATCTGAACGATCATATCGAGATGAATTACTTTCAAAAATAACTGAAATATGCAGCCAAAATGATGATCAACATAAAACTAACTTTGAATGGTTTACATTTATTTTTTTAATTTTTATTAATAAGAAAAAACATTATTTATTAAAATAGGTATATTAGTATATTGATCGAATTAATTCATCTTGAAAGTACAAAACATGATAATCTCATATCTTATCAATGCTTGATGTAGCTGTTCGTGTTGAATCTATTCGTTCATTTACTTGTAATCAAATGATAGAAATTTTTGAAAAATAAAATCACGAAAAAATATTTTTATTTCTATTTTTTTAGGCAATTCTTCTTTAAAATGCTCATGTTTTTATTCATGATTTAAATTCTACAACTGTTTTCGAAGTTTTATATGCTGTTGCATAGATTTATAATGAATGTTGTTCGTAAGTCAATAAAGAAAAACAAAATTAATTGAAAGAATTCTTGTCTTTTCTTTTTTCTTCATAGTCATTTAAAAGAACCACAAAAAAACTCTTAAATCAATGCTTAATACAAAAATCATTCTATTTCCTGGACATATTCAATCTGTTTATTATCAAAATATTTCAAAAATTATTATATATATTTAATTCAATCATCAAATAATGATGACACATTAATTCAGTAACTTCTTTCGTTAACGATTGATAAAGTGTCTTTATTTTTATCAAGCTGTGATGTCGAAGCAGAAGAACAAGTAGGCCATTTTTCTTTTTATTTTAAAAGACATCAAAATAAAAAATTGCATTGCTCACATGGAAGGTGAATATGTAATTTCTGTTGCTCAGAAGATCGTCTTCAAGAAATTTTTTTATTATATATCATCCAACGCAGTTTCAGATGTTGACTTTGAATAGAAATGCTTTAGAGCTAGCAAAAGAGGAATTCAGCTGAAAACCTGTTGTGCAGTTCAGAAATGTTTTTGCTATTTGTGCTGATGCAGGTCATATAGAAGGACTTGTAGGTAAAGTGTGAGTAGACTTAGATTGGTGCTAAGAGATGCACATTCGTTTTACTATAACAGAGTGATTCGAAAAATTCATTGCAGAAATGTTCATCTTATTTCTTAAAGGTAACGACTTAAAATAAAATTTTTATTCCACTAGAGAATGCACGAATTTTAGAATATGTATTGCTTTTTTTGCCAATTAGTTGGTTACATCTTGAATAAAAATCAATTTTTCGTAATTTAGCAATATTTTTAGGCTAATTTTAGATCAGTTGATTTTCTGCGTTACGCAACAATTTTTATGCAATCAGAAAGAGCGTATTTCCAAATATATTAATCGCTATCTGAATCATTGAAAACTTGATTTTCATTTTTTTTCACCTAATATTCACGCGCCCGCCTCCCCACACAATGGACAGCCTAGCAATAAATCTACTATCAATCTGCATTTCATTATACCTTGAATTGTAATTGCAACCGAGTAGCCGTCTTGCAATAGCTATTACCAAATAGATAAAAGTTTCAAATTGAATTCCTAATTGTATTCATTAGATGTTATATAGTTATTCAGTGTTATGTATGTACTCTGTACACTACAGGCCTTTTGGATCTACTGAAGATCCTTCTGCTCCATTAGAGTTAAAAAATAATGGCTGGTGAATATGTAATTTTTTCCCGACACTTTTACTTAAACATGCACTAGCATATGGAACTAAACCCTTGTGAACATCCATCGTCCCAAATATAACCTCCGATATAGACCTATTCTAATTGACTTCTACTATGATCACTCATTTTTCGAATTGGTGAAGGTTCAAATAAATAATACAAGTTAAAACTTATATATTTTTCGAAAGAATCTATTTTTTCAAATATACTATAGTTTGTTTTTCTGTATCAGGCAACTGATATACTTAATTTATTCCTAGATGATACGTCATAAAATTCTGAGAAGTTGTTTTTTTTTGAAAATGTTGATCGAAACTAATTGAACTTGAAAAGTTCATGAAAAATGCTGGAAAAATAATCATAATAAATATCCGGATGTCTTTTGTCAATAGCTCGAAATATCAAATATAAAAAAAGAAGAAATTACTTATTTAGGCATGTGTTATTTTACATATTCTTAAAGCAACATTAAAATTAATTGAAAAATTTGAATTTAATGTTAATGATTATCAGTATCATTTGATGGTGTTCTGAATCCAATTGCTACTAAAGCTCAACATTTTTGGATTTAAATGGTTGGATAAATGATTCTCTATCAGACAGTGAAAATGAATCAATAATAACAAGTTCATATTATGATAATAAAGGTTTATTTTATGATGATAATGGAGAAAATTCTAATTCTAATTCATACTCTGGCGATACATTAAGTTATCAAAAATCGAAAAAATACATTGAAACAACTGCTGAAGCACTAGAAAAACAACGAGAATCAAGAAAAAAAAGTGAACAAATGGATCCATTCTATTTATAAGATTCAAAAAAACCAAAATTGACACAAATAAGCTTTTAGTGTTAGTGATTTATTGTGAACGTTTCAAATCTTTTGATTACCTTCTATGTTGACATAAGGACACCGAATATTTGTCATCAGATATAAAGAACAAGTTTTTATCATACCTTTATCTTAAGATAGGAGCAACGGCAAGATCTGAAAACACTCACAAGAAACTAGTCTCGTTAAGATCTGTCTCTATGGAGAGTTCTAAGTCAAAATTCGAAAATTAGTTTTTATGATACTTCTCTGAAGCACCATGGCTAGAACCCATCGAGTTCAAAGTTTTCGGATCCGAAACCAATTCGACGGACTCTAACTATGACATTCATTTTAAAAACTACTATAAAAGTGCAATATCTCGACATCAATAAGCTACGGACTTGAACTGTCTTCAGGATATTCTTAGCTCATTTGATTCTACAGAATGCAAATAGTCTAGTTCAATGCTTGAATTTATCTTTAATATTATAGACTGAAACAACTTCGGATACTATAAATGGTAATGATCGTATTGAATCAATATTATCACAAGGAGCAAATGCTACTAGTTCACAATTAACACTATCTGATCAATTATATTGTCAAGCAAAAATTGATGAAGAAAATGGACGTTTAAAGAAAAAAATCGAAAACTGATGGTCAATTATCAAAAAAAAACAGGAAAGAAATCATCGAAAAAATCTGATGCAAAAGTAACTGATAAAGGAAGACAACGATCATGATGTGTGTGTTGGAAAAAATAAAAAATAATGATCCACATCGAGCACCTAATATCGACTTGAATGAAAAACCTATTCAATCGATTCCTACACCACTACCATTGACATCTCAATTAAGGGGAACCCCCCCGTCAGAAAATCGATTTTTTTTCAGAAAAATCGATTTTGAGATAAGCACATATACTGAAAGCTCAAAGTGTCCTCTTTCAGATTATGTGCGATTTATTGCAGTTTGAATGGTTTTGGACGGTGAAAATAGCGGTTTTCTGGGAGCACTGGTAGAAATATAAGGTTTTATCAGAATTTTTTTTAGTTAGGGAGATGTGATAGTGGTCAACAAACTTGTAGATTTTGTTTAATGAAAAACACATATACGTTCTGTTATATTAATTAATTAGAGGAACGTAGTCATTTCTGCTTAAAATCCTGTATACATGATGAAATTGCCGTATAGAGGTCGTGACAGTCATAGTGAAATTAAAAATTGTTTCATACAAACTTGTTGATTGGTTTTCTCAAAATCACTTTTTTGGAGATTTAGGAACCGATTTCTCGAACTGTAGAAGAGGTAGCGAGCTACTGTTTTTTTTAAATAAAAAAAGAGACCTATATCTAAAAATGTATATAGCGTTTTTTCGAAATTCGATTTCTTTGCCGTGATAACTGGATAACACTGACGTCAAAAAGCGCTAAATTCCGAGTTCTTGCAGGAAAATGTCTCGGAAATTCGAACAAAATCGAATTTCGAAAAAACGGTATATACATTTCTAGATTCAAGTCTTGTCTTTTATTTAAAACAAACGGTATCTCTCTACGTCTTCGACAGTCTGAGAAATCGGTACCTTACGAAGATCACCATTTTGGGGACTAATTTGTCAATAACTCGTTAAAGCAAAAACTTTATGAGCCAAAAATTTGCAAGGACTTGAGCTAACACAGCATCCATATTGCCTGAAAATTTCAAGCGAATCGGTCAACGAATAACGAAAAACGATTCCTGAGGGGGGGTTCCCCTTAAAAGAATCAGTTACTAAACAAGTTGAAATACCTCCTATATTAGCTGAAAAACCAAAAAAATCTAAGAAAAAGAAAATAATTGAAAAACAAGAACAGTCATCAAAATCGAAATCTAAACACAAACAAGAACGTAGTGATTATAAAGAATTATTATAACCAGCTGATGAAGGAGAAAATCGTCCAACTTCTACATCTTCTCCTTCTTCTGCTACTGCAGAGAAATCAAAGTAAAAAAAATCATCATCAGAAACAACAACAATAGTAGATACAAATACTTCTGCGCCACTCCTATTGGACATTATGGTGTGGGTGTGAGTGTGAGTCTTATTCTCACGCTCACACCCACACCCCGACATCTATGCATGGTAGGATTATCATTCCAACTAATATAACTTTTTGCTGTGAAGAAACTTAGACCATCTACATCACTAGAAAATATAGAAAAAAAAATGGGAATATGTTCTTCTGGATATAGGGACACAATCTCCTACTACATATTTTGAGTACAAGATGCGACATAATAATCTGCATCTCAAAAACGCAGCATATTTGCGTTTAGTGTGTATTACGTGCGCAAATAATCTTTCCGGATGAAAAAAAAGTGAGCAGGTACATAAATGAGTTATACGAAAAGAAAGAGAATAAGTGAATATTTGAAGAAGAGAGAACGTATCAAATTTTTTTTCTCTGCATCTATTGCTCCGATAATACGAGGAAGAATGAAAAAGAAAATTGTTCTGAATATAAGGCGCCATAAATATTAATTTAAAGCAAAATTGTTTTTTCGTTTTTTCATACATTGTTGACAAACCTAGACGAGTTAGTTAAGAATGTGTGGTTTAACTTTTTTGAATGACTTCTAAAGAGAAACATCTTAGTTTTTTCGCGAATTTTACATGATTCGTTTTTCATGAAGCAAAAAATAAGACCGCAAAACACGATACTTCTCTATTTTTCCTTTTTTTTAGTTCTGAGAATATCATTTTCAGATTCAGCATGAAAAACTGTCACTAGGAAATTCATTTCTAAGATAGTCTAAGGAAAGTAGTGTTAAGTCAAGTAGCTGGGCGTTCTCGAGTACTGCATTAAGAACATCGAGCAACGTCTAGAGTGATACTGCCACTCTGATTCTTTGGTAATAATACATATCTCCTAATTCATTGCACGCTAGTGTGGTGTGCATGCATGTACTACATGGATTTGCGGATAGAATGATGCCTCGTCAATTGATTGTAGTTAGCTATAGCTATATTCTCTTCGCACGAACACATAAAGAGTAACAAATCGTCAGGAAATACGTTTTTTATGTAAGTTTCAATAGTTCTGTGATTTTCGTTTGATTTTCAAATTAGAAAGAGTCCTCTTAACCCTTCACACAAATCATATTTTCTTACAAGTGAATAAAGAAGAAACTTCGAAAGATATATCTAGTACGATAATATGCGTACTAACATATGACTATCAGCAACCAACGTATATCCTATTAAAGTACTTATGCGAACTCCTCAATTAAACGTCCGTTCCAAAATGCTGAGTATCATAGCACGACTAAGCGATTTACTTAAAAAGTGCTTGGCAGCAGTTTAATATGACAAAAGTCACAGTGGTTTCAGGTGATGTTGACAATAAGTGCTTAGTAGCGCTTTAAAAATTTCATTTTAAACTCTTAAAAGCTTAAAAATTGATGCGCTTTTAAGTCACTTTTTTTTGGCTCTAAGGTCTTCTAAGTCGCTTTAAAATAGCTTACGATAATAAAAGTTTTTACATGGATTATTACTGAATTTTAGTTATCTTTCTTTGCACGTGTCTTTCGTCACTGGACAAAATCCAAAAATGAGGTGCACTCAAAAACTTCAAACAGTTCTTGGCTCTCCCGTCATTATCATAATCCTCTTACAACTAACTATCCTTATTCTTGTTGCTCAACTTGTATTCAAAACATCACCACCAGTATTGTCGCACATCGATAGCGCAAAACCTACATTCTCCACGACTCCAACATCACTCATACAACTTGACAACAAGTATAAAACTAGCAAAGGAAGTTTTCATCATTATACCCGTTTCTATGAACATTATTTGAGCAAGTATCGTGATACCAACTTTCGATTGCTCGAAATTGGTCTTGGCTGTGGCATGGCGTGGGGTGTTGGTGTTTCGGCAGCTATGTGGCGAGAATATTTTGGTCCAAAAGCTAACATTCACTTTATTGAATATGACGAAAAGTGTGGTAGAAAGTGGATGAATAGATCGGGCCAAAAGGTAAGTTCATGAGCGAACAGCTATTTTATTTCATAATTGTATGATTATGGTTTTTTCGATATATGATTCGCAGTTAAATGTTACAATGCACTATGGTTCTCAAGATGATCTTTCATTTCTGAAAGCATTTGCTACTAATTATACTAATATGTTTGATGTCATCATTGATGACGGTGGTCACCGAGTGAAGCAACAGATCAATAGTCTTACAGAGCTCTTTCCTACCATTCTTCGCTCCGGTGGTATTTATGCTATTGAAGATATTTATACAAGTTATGTAGCTTGGTATGGCGGTCGATATTTAAAATCATCAACATTGATCGAATTTCTCAAACGTCTTGTTGACGATATTCAATCATATTCACCAACTTATAAGAATAGTACTCTCGGACCACTTATCAGTTCGTTTGAAATAAGTAATAAAATATGCTTTTTTAAAAAGAATGAGATGTAATAATTGTATGTTACAAAGTCTTTGTCTACGTTGTTATTTACTGGGAGCTTATTTTAAACGTAATATAATAAACATTTAACATAATAAATCAGCATAAGTGCTCACTAGATCTGCTCCGATTTGGCTGCGTCAAGCGTATGGGATAAAAGTAATCGTTTGATGATTTTTGATGCAAACTAATTCAAAAAAATATTCTATTGTCAATTGGATATTGAATTTCTACGAAAATTTCCAACAAATTGCATACATTGTACGACGTCATAGCTCGAGAATAATTCGACAGATGAAGTTGAATCGCTTTTGTGTACACATAGAGTCAATCTGGAAAGTTAAAAAAGCAAAATCGTTGTGTTTAAATTAATCACAATCATGAGATGACTTTTGTATTCTTTTTATGACATACGTCCGATGAAATAGATATAATTGTCATAATCAATTCTACATTGATCTGTATGAAAGATATGACTTTTAGCTTGAACGGACGCTTGTCCAATTCTACTTTCGATTGTTTGTTATAACGAAATGATGGAAGCTTTTTTTCTATCATTCAATTGCAATAATAATCAGAAAAATATGTTTTAATCATCAAATAGTTTATCAGAAAAGGAGCTATTCGCAAAATACCGATGTCATACATCGTATATGTACTGAAGATCTTTGGCTTGCAAAGCAATTTCAAATTCATCTCTCGTGACAGCTTTTGACGCTTTTTATAATGTTGCAATTGAGTTTGAAATATGAATTTTCTAACGAAGGAATGTGTTCAGGTACCAAGTTCACTTTTGAATGTGTTATATATCAATTTGTATAGCTAGTTATGAAAAGAAAAAAAATCAAAAGGATTTGTTTCGATAATTTAGTCTTCTCGAATTATGACCATTTTATTACATTTTCGGCCTAATTACAAGGTATTTCTCTCAAACTCGAATATAGTTTTTAGAATGCCCCAAAAATTCCAACCAAAATGGATGTCTTCTTTACCAGATTACAAAAAGCTGCGTATATTTTGCAAAAGAGCTGAAAGAATGAATTTTTTGTAGTCTACTGTCTTGAAAAGAAAACATCCGTTTTAGGTGAAGCTTTTGGTACCTTCTAGAAAACTATGAGAGCAAATGATGGGCAAAGTTTAATGTCGAAGTTGGGGATTTCGAGAATACATCCTATTCCGCGATGTTGAACATTGAAGCACTCAGGTTCGCCCTCGGAATCAATTCCACCAATTCCGGAATTCCGCTATACCAGCGCAGCCGCAATTTCTAGGAATTCCGTGCAATTCCGCTTCGACCCAATTCCCGGAATTCCGTTTCGGAATTACACTCCGTCCTCACCCTCATATTAGGCTGTTTTCTTGAAGAATAATCATTGAAATAAGTTATCGATTCCGCGACGGAATTCATAGAAATTGGGAGTGCACGGAAAAAGCGAAATTCCGGAATTGGTGAAATTGATTCCGGGGGCGGACCTGAGTCCTGAAATGTTCAACATCGCGGAACAGGACGACTACTCAGCAAAACTAATTCATTCGGTTGCCTACAATATGATGCTCGACAACTATCAGGATAACTTAATCTAGAATAGAAAATTAAGGTCATTTAGGGAATTTTGATTCTCTTATAAAACAAACCAGAACTCATAGGATGACTAGCTGAAGCAAAAAAAGAATAAAGTCAAGTTTCTAATTACATTTCCATAATAGAATGCGAAAGCACTATCAAGGTAAGTGAACTAGTTTTCTCTGCTTGTTTTTTCTCAGAACAAATGCGAAAAGTGCGAGTATAGTTACTACAAAAAAAGGAACATTCGATTCAATTACTCGAATTCTTTATAAAAAAAACACTATTAATCTAAGACTTTTCAAAAAATGAAGGACAATACTCCAAATAACTAAATAAAGTAAAGTTTGTTTTCTTATTCTAATGCTTTTGAAAAATTTTTGTCAAATATTGAAACGAGTAAAAGAAAAACAGAGTAAACAAGGTTTGCTTTGTCGGTTCCTCGGATGAGAAGCTAGAAAAATATTACAGAAATAAACCGAAGTAAAGCAAACTAAACTAACTTATTCTATTTCTCCGATGAAATACACGATCATTCCAAGCATAACTCAATGATGAAAGAGAAAAACTAAACTAAATTAAATTTAGATTTCTCGAAAAAAATGAAGACCAATACTCTAGATAAATAAAGAGAGAATAAACAAATGTAAAAGGTGTTTCCTCATGCTATTACTTTTATGAGATTCTCAACAATATTTGAAATAACTTAAGAAAACAAGAGATTCAAACAAAACTAATTAGTTCATTAGCCTTGTCGCTCAATCATTGTCGATGACTGCCTGTCCAAGAACGATACTCGATTTTACAAAGGTAATCAAGTACTTATTTCGACATGTGATCATGTTCAAGACAGCCTTCATTGGAAAAATCGTTCCTGGATTTTTCTATCTACAACGATTTTTTAAGAGACAGTTCACGAAAAGACCACCCACAAATATAGAGCTCGGGTGCCGAAAACGTTTACTTTTTGAGATTGCATATCTAGTTGAAAAGAGCGCAAAAAGTTGTCCATAAATCCAAAGTTTTAGATTTTTTCTGATCAAGTCTTGGGTGACTTCCGAGATCGGAATTTTTTAGACTTTGGAATGATATATTAAAATTAGCAATTTTTGACGTTTTTTTTCAGAGGTGTTTTCAACTTCAAAAGATGACCAAAACTATAAGAAAACTATAAGTATTTTATACCAATCGATAGAGTGAAATTTACTCTAAAAAATCCAATGCGAACTATATTTTTTTGAATTGTCCAGCAGCACTAATAATTGATAAATTCTCGAAGTCCATCAATTTTGCAGCCAATTTTGAGCATAGTTTTTGACCCTATTTGTATCTAATATGCCAAGATTCCAGGCTGAATTTTGGATACGTTGTAGAGCATGAAAAGACCCATCTTTTCATATAATTATATTGAAGGTTAAAGTATTGGCAAAGACCGTAATCACTGTCTACAAGGTAAAAAAACCACATAATTTTTTTCTAGTTTCATGTATAGATCATATGTTCTGGCTATCAATAAATTCATCATAAGCCGGTATTTCGTCTTTCACTTTTGGGTGTGGGTGCGAGTGTGAATGTGAGTGTGTGGGTTTGGGTAATGCACCTGAGGGTGTGGGTGTGGGGTGTGGGTGTGGGTGTGGGTGTGGGTGTGTGGCTGGGTGTGGGTGTGTGGCTGGGTGTGGGTGTGGGTGTGGGTGGGTGGGTGTGGGTGTGATGAGAAGATTTACACCCACACCCTTATATGAATTGTGATACATTTTAAAGAAACACTTGGTCTCTTCGGTTTCTAATTTTATTTAATGTTCAAAATATTTAAACATTAATTATTCAACAATATTGTCATTGTTATTATGTACGTTGTTTTTCATTGACAATTTATTAATTATTACAGTTTTTTTTCCAAAATTACATTTTATCAAGCCGAATAAATAAAAGCAAAAACAAAAATAAAAATTATATTTCTTAATTTCGCAAAAAAAAAATGATGGTCGTTAAATTTTTCATCGTTTATTATTCCGTAATATCACAATTAAATTATAAGAAACATTCAGTACAATTAATTGTTATTATTACAACTTGTATAGTAATAAAAGAACTAAATAGTAAGAACTTGCAGATTCGTTCTTCGTTTTGATTTTTTCAATATTCGATAATAGAAAAAAAATGTTATTACCTTTTGGCGCTATTCGAAATATATATTATTTTGACGACCATAGTTACCATATGTGAATTTCGGTTTCTAGACCCTATCCTTTCAGTCTAGGGAATTAAAAGCAATTCTTTCCTTCTTCTTTTCTTAATTATTTACAGAAAGCACAAGCAAAAAGTGCATGTGTGATTCAGACAGAAGAAAAAAATAGTTACTATCTAGTTCAAAAATAAATAAACCATTCTGAAAAAGTAAAATTTCAATGGGCAAATTTTCAAATGAAATGAGCAATTGCCCATTGACCCGTCCCTTGGCTACGGCGCTGATCAATATTATATAGTTATGGGAAAAAAAATCTATTATGTTGACAGTGTCACATGAGCTTTTCAATGATTGGTGGCTTGAATAGACGTATCAGTGGATGTTAGTCCTTTTTATATATTTTTTATTCTACAGATCAGTTGTGCATAACTTTAGCAAAAAAAAAGCGGAAGCACATTGAAAAAAAATGGCTTGTATTTATTTGAACAATAAAAATATTGAAATGAGCAATAATTCAAATACAGTTTAGCAATAATTTTTGAGCAATTTTATAATATTAAATGAACAATAAATAACTCATTAAATAGCAGTAGTAACTTCATATTTTAGCAACCAAAAATAGAGAAACTACAGGGTGGACGTTGGTGTGGGTGAAAAAAATACTGATATACAACACCTATGTCAACTGAATCTATTCACATCTATACCCACATCCATATTGCACTACGCTTTAAGATTGAGCTATTTGCATAAATTATGTATTCTATTTCATAAAACTAAAAAAAATACCTATTTGTGTAAATAAACGAATCAATATTGTCCTTTTCATATACAACTTATTTTTTTATTAAAATGAACTACTGCTTATTCAACATAATTATTGCTCAATTAAATATAAGTCGAAAAAAATGCTCTTCTAACAGTGTTTTTTTTATAGTTTTCATTAATAAAAAGAGATGAGAAAAAAACACGCCTATCAGATGCAATATATACGCAATAGAGTATATTTACCTTGCTTCTGTTGGATTCTTTTTTTTTCCATTCCTCTTATTCTTTGCTTTTTTTTTCAATGCGCTTTTACTTCCTTTTCACCATGTCTCAGTTAGACATATCAAGTGTCAATAGATAACCGATTTTAGACATTTCAGCAAAATAAACATAGTATAATACTCTTGACGTATTTTAATTTTTTTAGAGTTGAAGGAGAAAAAGGAAGGACAAAGCGAGTTGATTGTTTTTTTCTTGAGAAATACTTTGATTTTAATTTTTTTTTGTCTTTACACTCATTTTATCAATAGTCTTCTTTTTTTTTCAAAATAACTTATTACAAAAAAAAATATATTTATGAATTATTTTCTTCGATTCAGAAGAAAATATTATTAATATGGCGATAAGAAATTCAAATTTCTTTTTATTAATTCTATTATTATTATCAATCAATGCATTTAATCTACCAGGATTGTCACCTAATGAATACTGTCAATTTCCATTGCCAGGATTAAAATGCAAAGTTTGTTAAAACGAAGAAAAATCTTATTTGTTGTACAATATAATTTTAGACTCAAGTTGAAGTATATGTCAATCGTCTAAATTCATTTGAATCTGTATTATCACATGAATATTCTTAGTGAGTTAATATATTATTTTTTTTTGTTTTTTTATTTAATTCTCAAAAAAAAATTAGTTTTCCTTTCTGTACTGTCAATGATGAACCATCACCAATTGAAAATCTTGGTCAAGTTCTCATTGGTGAACGAATACAACCATCACCATATAAAGTCAGTTATTAATTCAACTCTATATTTAAATCAACCGAATTCCTTTTTTCCTAGTTTGATTTTCTTACAGATTATTACTGTCGTTATGTATGCACAAAGAAATTTACATCAACTGATACTAATCAACAAGAAAAGCTTAAACGTTTAATGAAAGGAATAATTTTAAATTATCAACAATACTGGATACTTGATAATATGCCTATTACATTATGTTATAAAAATACTGAAAATCTAGAATTTTGTTCTCGTAATTTTCCAATTGGCTGTTATGTAAGTAAAAGTGGTCAAACAAAAGAATCGTGTAACATTCGTGATGGAAAAAATGATACATTTTATATATTTAATCATTTGGATTTTGAAATAACTTATCATAATGAACTAGGTAAGATAATCATAATAACTATTATATTTTGATTAGTTGATTTTTTTTAAAGGTGAAACATGGAGAAGTACATTTGGCGAAGATAGTAGTCGAATTATTTCAGCGAAAATACAAGCTAATAGGTTTGTTGAATAAAATTAGTCATCTTATCTATTTATAAATTTTATTTTTTAGTCTCAATTCAAATAGATGTGATCGTACTACTGGACCAGTTATGTTTCAATCGACAAGCAAAGATATTGAAATTCCATTTACATACAGTGTAAAATTTATAAAAAATAATGAAATACGTTGGGCTAGTCGATGGGATTATATACTTAAATCATTACCACAAACACATATTCAATGGTTTTCAATTTTAAATTCGCTTGTTATTGTCTTATTTCTTTCGGGTTTAGTTGCTATTATTCTTTTACGTACATTATGTAAAAATAATCCTCGTTGTATTCGAATGGTTGGTACTGTAAGTTGAAGAAATTAAGTCTATATTTATGATTATTTTCTTTTTATATAGGGTACTGAAAAAGAACAATTCGGATGGAAACAGTAAGGAATACTTTCTGTATAGCAAAATATTTCAAATACGAAGATTTGTAGATTTATTATCTTCTAAACTGCTGACTTTTTGTACTAATACTTCATTTTAACTATATACTTTCAATTCAGACTACTTATCATCTTTTATATCGATTTTCAACATTCAGAAAAGAACTTTTCAGAAATAGATAAGGAAATTTAAAGCTAATATGAAAAATTTAAGGTGTGTTAGTCACTGAATACAAATAATAAAGAAATAATATCTACATCTTCAAAATTATTTTCGAATTTCAATAAAGAAAATGACATCAGTTAATGAATAAAATTTCGTTTCAAACTCTTTT